ACTTAAGCTGTGATGCAGAGGGTCTGTTCCTCCCTACAAGGATAGACATTCCTTCTGACTAGCTTAAATTATGCTTGGCTCAATCCCTGCTTGGAGTGATGCTCATTTTGGGACCTGCAGGACAACCAAGTGCCCTTGCCCTGGTGTCAGACCTGTGGCTGCACACGGGCTGGTTACACATCCTGAGCACTGTGACAGACAGAACTGGCAGGGGGGTCTAACCCCGCGCAGAGTTCCTGGTCCCTGTGAATCGGGGCTGCTGCCCCGAGTAACTGTTTGCTGTGCCTCCCCAGGGAGGACAGGGGTCGTTCTCCCCAGAGGGACTTCCACATCCTGTTCGTGCCGCGCCGCAGCCTGCTGTGCGAGCAGTGGCTGAAGGAGCAGGGCGTGCTGGGCTCCTTCATCCACCGCGAGCAGTACAGCCTCGACCTCATCCCCTTCGACGGAGACCTGCTCTCCATGGAGTCCGAGAGCGCCTTCAAGGTGTGCCTCTGCGAGGAGAAACACCTCGTGCTGCCTGTTGGTGGGGGTGCAGCAGCTCGGGGGGGTTTGTGGGTGACCTGCACAGCAGGGAAAGGCCTTGCAGAGCAAATGTGGTTTGGTCCTGAGGGGTGAACCGAGCCTGAGCTTCCCTGTGTGTTTCTGCAGTCACTACAGAGCTGCACCCCAGTTCCTCCAGCTTCTACTGCTGGTGGTGTTTTCACACGTGGAGCATTCCTGAGCTCAAAGCACTCAGGTGTCACAGAGCCAGCACAGTTTGTGTCCTGCCCAGCCAGGGTGCTGTGTGTCATGGGTCCCACTGAGCAGTCACAGCTGTCACATCCCAGTTGTGTGTCCTGTGTTCCCAGAGCTCTCTGAGGACAGGAAGGTTTGGGAGGTTCTTTGTACACCTCTGCCCTATTAAGCACAGCCCAGAGAATGTCTCAGGGCTTGCAGCTGTGGTGAGGTGCACACCCAGATTGGCCTAATTAGCAGTCACTTTCCTTTACTCCACCACACTGGGTTTGTGTGTGGAGGTTAGACACACTGCAGGGTCTGGCCAGGTGATCTGATGTAACAGACCATAAGGGCTGTGTTTGCCAACAGACATAGCTTTTCCCCAGCCTAGGTCTCCTCTGAACTGTTCACATGGACTGCACTCTGCTGTGGAAGCAGCTGCCTTGGATCAACACCTTCCATCAGAATCCTTCTTGTTCCTCAGGAGTGTTACCTGGAGAGTGACCAGACCAGCCTGTACCACGCTGCGAAGGGGCTGATGACCCTGCAGGCTCTCTACGGAACCATCCCGCAGATCTTTGGGAAGGGAGACTGTGCTCGGGTGAGGCTGAAAAAGTGCACCTTGTTCTTTGGAACTTTCTCAAGGAGTATTTGATTAACCTCTGGGTTTTTTTAATCTAGCCATGACACTCGCCCCTTTTTCCTCTCTGATCACCCTGTGGTTTAATTGGTACCTTTTGTGGTGAGGGAGTGACCTGCAGTGATGGCAGTGCTTTGGCCACTCACTGCAAGAGCAGCAGAGAAGGATTTGGTTCTGTCTGTCTCATCCTGCCCCGTCCATCAGCCGATCTGTACCTCCTGCTTTCTCTCCCCTTACCCAAGTGCCCACGCTTGCACGAGCGTGTGCTTTTGGGGCCTAGAGGTCACCATCCCTCTGCTGTGGCCCGCACTGTAACCACACCGACACGATTTGCTTCCAGCACGTGGCTAACATGATGATCAGGATGAAGCGTGAATTCCCCGGGAGCCAGAACTCCATATTTCCTGTCTTTGATACCCTCTTGCTGCTGGACCGCAACGTGGACCTGCTGACACCGCTGGCCACGCAGCTGACCTACGAGGGGCTCATAGATGAGATCTATGGCATCCAGAACAGTGAGTGCTGCAGGCAGGGGCAGGGCTGTCCCGTGCTGGAGCTGGGGGCAGGGTGTCGGGTGCCTTCCTGCTTCACTAAATGGCTGTGAAGTCCCATCCTTACAAGGGTTTTGTCTCTGCATTCGGTAGCTTATGTGAAACTGCCTCCTGAGAAGTTTGCCCCCAAGAAGCAGGGTGAGGGTGGCAAGGATCTCCCCACGGAGCCCAAGAAGCTGCAGCTGAACTCTGCAGAAGAGCTGTATGCCGAAATCCGCGACAAGAACTTCAATGCTGTGGGGTCAGTGCTGAGCAAGAAGGCCAAGATCATCTCAGCAGCCTTTGAGGTGAGGCCTGTACCCAGAGGGGCATCCCCTGGGCATTCTTTTGTCAGATGGGTCAGATGTGTTCAGCAGCGCTGCGCTGGCAGCTCAGGCTGGTGCCCTGGAGTAATCCTCCAGCCAGAGAACAACCAGTTAGTCCTGAGAAGCCCTTCCAGTCTGTTCCTCTGCCCTGGGATGAGGTCAGATCCACCTGGACTGCTCCAAGTAGGTGTTAGTCAAATCTCCTCTTAGTAGTAATGTGGATTCCCTCTACTCCCCACACCTCTGTCCTGGGGCTTCCCCTCTCCTCTGAGCTAGCCCAAACCAGCCTTCTGCTGTGTGAGCCTGTAGTTCCCATAAACAGGAACTGCTTCCCTCAGTCTGCAGGACAGTCAGGTGCTGCTTCCCCCTGCAAGAGGCCAGAGGGCAGTTTTAGTGTGCTGATCAAGTCTACTTTGCTGCTGCTGTTACTAAAAGGTCCTTTTCCCTTTGTATTCACTGAGGATGCAGAGAAAAGGTTTTAAGGCATAAAACTCTGGAATGTACATTCACACAGTGTTACGGGTGGCATAAAAACCAGTAGGAATGTGGCAAAGGCAGTTGTGTTGCAGGAGGTTAGGTTGGACCTGTAAACTGATGCTTACATGTCACCATAGAGCTGTGTGAGGCTTGTTTGTGGTTTTGTTTGATCACATCCTGGTGATTCATAAAGAAACTGAGATCCCTTATCTCGGCTTTCAACTTCATGGGGATCCTCAACAGAACTTCTTACACACTGATTCTATTTCCTTGGGCCTTTTTTCAGCCCTTCACCTCTACCACATTTAAGACGAGGTCGCAGTACCCTAACTGAAACGAGTGCTCAGCCTGACCTACACGTCTGCTGCTGCAGGATGTGTGCTGGAGGTGCTCAGGCCTGGATTGGCCATACTGGCTGTTAGAAAAGAGGATTTTAAGAAATTGTCAGCAGTAATAGGTGATAATGAAACAGCAGCATATTGGCAGCCAAGGCTCTGTCATTACCACTGTCCTGCCTGCACTTGCCCATTTAAATCCTTCACGTAGGAGTTAAATAATTATTCCTTTTGCTCCAAGTTGCAGCAAGAGGCAAATAGCCCAAGTGCAGTCCAGACCTCTGGACTGCTCTGAGCTGAGCCCTGCATGGTGGTCGTCACATCCTGGGACAGAACCTGGGGCGCCGTTGCAGCCAGGTGCAGGGAACAGCAGGCTCTGCTTGCTCCTGCCAGCCAAGTTCCTCATCACCCTTCAGTGCTGCCAGGGGGAGTGTTACCCCGCTCCGACGGCACTGGCCTGGAGCTCCAGGTTTACTGGCAGCCAGCAAAGGAATTCCTCTGCATGAAACAGGGAGTTTTCCTGGAAGGGAAGCTGAGGAGCAGGTAGGGATGGCTGGAATCAGACAAAGGTGGATAAAGTGACCGGCAACACTGGCATAATGGAAAATAACAGTCTGATGATCCTGTTGTATTATGTCCTGCCTCTTCCAATGACCAGGTAATGCTGGGACTTTAGTCCTGTCTAAAAGGTTGCATATCTCTACCTGGCACTGCAGTGAGTACAGTAAAATTTCTGCATGCTAAAATGATCTAGTTGGTGTTCTTAATCTGAGCAATGGATTCCCCCAGGAAAGGCACCATGCAAAGACTGTTGGGGAGATCAAGCAGTTTGTCTCACAGCTGCCACACATGCAGGCGGCGAGGAGCTCCCTGGCCAACCACACCTCCATCGCAGAGCTCATCAAAGACATCACCAGTGAGTATGTGTTCAGCTGGGCTGAGCTCAGCACAGCACATCACTCAGCCTGGCAACAACTGGCTGTGCTCCAGCTGGTGTGTCTCTGATGAAAGGTGGAAGATAAGCTGTGAGTTGTACTGATTTTTGTTCTCTTCCCAAAGCATCTGAAGATTTCTTTGACAATTTAACGGTGGAGCAAGAGTTCATGTCTGGAGTAGACACAGACAAGGTAAGCAGATAATGACAGTTAGTGACTTTTAACTCTTCAAAAGATTTTTTTTCCATCAGGGTTTTTTTGAGAGAGGAAACATCTGATCTAGACGCTGCCCGGTGACGTTCCTTGCTGAGTTACATGTCACTGCCTGTGATGCAGCTGTGCACAGCTGTGGTGTTGGACCTGCCCAGGGCTGTGAGGAATCAGTGCCTCAAGCAAAGTCTGGCTGCTGACTGTGGAACTGACAGACTTTAGAGCGAGCCTCGGTGGAACCAGTGCTGGTCCTGAGCTGCCCAAGAGCAGCTGCACCCTCTTTCTTGCTGGTTTGGAGATACTAGTCAAACCAGCTCTTTCTTTCCAGGTCTTCTGGGCACTTTAACAGTTCTTTGAATAACAGTTTATGTGTTTTATTGATTAGGTTAACAACTACATTGAAGACTGTATAGCTCAAAAACACCCACTGATCAAGATCCTGCGCCTCGTTTGCTTGCAATCTGTGTGCAATAGTGGACTGAAGCAGAAGGTTCTGGACCACTACAAAAGAGAGATTCTCCAGGTTGGGCTCTTACTGTTAGATCAGTTGATTCCTGAGAAAATCCACATCGAGTCCTTGGGTCTATGATACTTCCATTCCAGACAGACACATCTTGCACACGGGTTGAGTTCCAGTCTGGGCTGAGGGCAGTGACATGGGACACGCTTACGTGTGTTTTACCACGTGCAGATACAGAGCTTTAGATGTCCTTTCGACCGCTGTGATTTAACCACTCTAAGTGGGATATACTCCACAGAGATCTCCACTAGACTTCATTTGTAATGAATGTTTGCCTTCTTCTCAAGCCACTGGTGATTGTGTGGTATTAAAGGCTGTGTGTTGCTGTTGCAGACGTATGGCTATGAACACATTCTGACCTTAAACAACCTGGAGAAGGCTGGGCTCCTGAGGCCTCAGACAGGGGGCAGGAACAACTACCCCACCATCAGGAAAACCCTGCGCCTGTGGATGGATGACGTTAACGAGCAGGTAAACGGGAGCCCCAGCATGAACGGTACCTCTAACCACGACGCAGCAGGAAAACCTTTTCTCCCTGTACTCCTCTCCGTGGTGCTGGTTTGCGGCAGGGGGTGGCCGTGCCCTGCGCTGACCCTGAGCTCCCCTGCAGAACCCCAACGACATCTCGTACGTGTACAGCGGCTATGCCCCGCTCAGCGTGCGCCTGGCGCAGCTGCTGGCACGCCCGGGCTGGAGGAGCATCGAGGAGGTCCTAAAGATGCTGCCAGGCCCCCACTTTGAGGAGAGACAGCAGCTACCTACTGGCCTTCAGAAAAAGCGTGAGCTTTGCTTTCTTTTCCTCATGGTTTAGAGGGAGATGTCTCTGCTAGGCTGGAAAAGGCAAACTGGCAGAGTCCAGGTGTCTTCTCTGTGACCAGTGACGGGACACGAGGGAACGGTCTGAGGTTGTGTCAGGGGAGGCTTAGGCTGGAGGTTAGAAAATGGTTCTTCCCCCAGGGGTGTTTGGGCACTGGAACAGCTCTGAGGACACTCTGTCACAGCCCTGAGCCTGACAGAGCTCAAGAGGTGTGTGGACAATGCTCTCAGGCACACAGTGTGACTCTTGGGGATGTCCTGTGTGGGGCAGGGGTTGGACAAGACGATCCTCAAGGGTCCCTTCCAGCTGAACATTCTGTGATCTGTGTCATCTCCCTCTCCTACAGCAGTTAGATCCAACGAACACACGTCTGACAAACTGTTCATTGGAGTGCTGAAATAAACCCTAAGTTTACACACACTGCTTCACAAAGAAGGTCAGCATCACGCTCCTAGTATTAAACCTGGGCAGGCAGAAGCACGTGCTGTGGAGACTCCAGAGCTGGGGCAGAGTGGGTTTCTGGGCCCCAATTCAGCTGCTGTCTGTAATTTAGTTTTAGGTCATTTGAGTGTGACAGTTGATGCACAGGAGATGTAAAAGTCAAACGAAGCCAACCTGTGAATGTCTCTGACTCCCCAGGTCAGCACGGTGAGAACAGAGTCACCCTGGTGTTCTTCCTGGGAGGTGTAACGTACGCAGAAATCGCCGCGCTGAGGTTTCTGTCCCAGATGGAAGATGGAGGCACAGAGTACGTCATTGCCACTACAAAACTGATCAATGGAACAACCTGGATGAAATCCTTGATGGAAAAGCTGGAGCCTGCCCCTTTCTAGGGTCTGTGGTGAGACCGTAGAAGTGAGAGGCTCTGTGGGACAGAGACATGTCAGCTGCTGGTCCTGGCACGGCTGCTCAAACGTCAGAGAAACACAGCAGTGAAAGAAGCTCTCCTGAGACCAGCTCGTGCTGCAGTTACCCTCATCCCTCTCTGCACTTGTGCTCCAGCTGCTTGTGGAACTTCCTAGCAGACAAGTGGTGCTGAAAGGCACTAGCAATGCATTAAACAATGGCAGAGAGAGACCCCTGCTGGGGTCTGACCTGGCGACCTAGCACTGCGGGGTGAAGATGTGCTCTGGTACTTCTCTTTGGCATTTTGCTGCTTCTGGTTTGCTTTCAGTTTAGTTTTTGTGGGAGATGTGGTTACTTGTTTTTACACTCCTGAGGTGCTGAGCAGGCAGGGCTAGTTTTCTGTTCCTGATTTCAGACCAGTGTTCCCAGACTGTGTGTCTCTCCCTGGTGCCTGATACATTCCATAGTGCACTCGCTGTGTCTGTCAGACATCTGTACCTCTGATCCTTGAGCCTTTTACTTTTCTTGCCCCCTGAAGGGGTTGCTGTGAGGTGGCTTGTTTGTCCTAGTAACACCCTCCTGACTCTGGAAAGCTACTCCGGGGTATGAATTGCATCAGTGTGTCATGAGCTCATGTTTGAAGACACACACACTCCTGGTGTGGGACTTGGGCCAAAAATAGCAACACCAGGGACCCAGTAAACAGCAGGTTTAAAACAGACACTTTTTTCACCCCCTGTTCAGGCTCTGAACTGTGGGACTTGCTGTCACAAGCTGCGGTAGAGCGCAGACTCATAAAGTGGAATTTTCCAGGGTGGTGGTGCCTGGGCCCATGTGTGTGCAGGAGGCAGCTCCCGGCCCCAGAGCCTCGGCCTGGCTGGGAAGGCAGACCAGTTTGTGCCTGTGCTGCTGCTGGGGACGGGCCCTGCACTCACATGCTGTGCAGCAGCCACTGGGGCCTCTGTTTCACACTGCACTTCACTATGAAATAAAGACAACTAAAACAAACCCACCTCACACCTTAAGCCACTCTCCTAGCAAACATTTCTGCACTTGGCTGTCCTGCATAGTAAGTCCCAATAAAACCCTTTGTTTTTCCAAGCAGTTGTGGCTGTGTGTTGGATGATCCTGGGTATGCACCTGGGGAAGGCCAAAAAGAGCTAGGCCACGGTCCCCTGGGAACATACGGACACAGTCCTGGGAACGCACCTGGGAATGCAGTGCACAAGCAAGGCTGTGGAGATAGTAACTTATATAGAGATAGGGAGTAACTCAACATGGCAGATGGCAGGGGTAAGTCGTCCTTGAGGGTGAGACAAACAAGTTTGAGACAAACAGCTAGGAATGCAGCCAAGCCTGGGAAAGCAGGAGATAATCCTCACAGCTACAGCTGCGAGTGGGGAGAGTACCTGAATGCTATCTTTAGAGCTTAGCCAATTAAAAATGATTGATAATTGTATGCCTGTCCTGCACTGTATAAGAAAGAGCCTGTCGGACAATAAAGTTGGAGCTTGCTGTATCACCCACACGGAGTCAGCCGCTTGCTTCCCCGCGCGGAACCTTCACCTTTCCCAACAGCTGTGGGTTCCAGTCTGTTGCTTTATCCTCTGAGTTCTGCCACATCAGCCCCTTCACAGAGCCCCTGTGTCTGTCTGACTCCAGTTGGCTTATTAGAATAAAATAAAGCTGCATTTGATCTCCTTTTTTGTGTTTGCACACTCTCTCCGGAATACAAGAATAAATAAAACCAAAAGAACTCCTGCCCTGTGATGGTTGTTTGCCTCTCCCCCAGCCCCAGGATAACCATATTGACATAAGCTGAAACTATTTTTCTAACATCTGGATGGTTTTTCTTTAAGCTTATACACAATTTCATTCTGTTCTGCCACCTAACATACTACATCAGAAGTGTCTGTGGGATTTCTTGACTCCCAAAGAAAAATACAACTTCAGTCACTGCAGACTTTAACTTGAGGTGAGCAGGCAACTTACAGACTTGCTAAACATGCTGCAACTTCAGCAATGATGCAAGGAGCAAACATGGATTGCCTTGCTCTGCATTAGTTCTGAGTTCCACTTACAGTAGCTAATTTCAAAGTATTTAAAAAGGAAATTAAATTACCTTTGGATCAAAAATTGATGTTATTGTGTAGAGGAAACAAGCAACTGTGTGACAGTGCAGCCCTTACAGTGCCCGTGGCCTGGCCTGAAGGGTCTTTGTACTAGCACACTTTGCAGACTTAGTTTAAAAACTGAACTAAGCACGAGGACGTGACTAGCACTGAGGTCATGTTGTGTACACATCACACCACAGGTGAGTAAAGGGAAGTGCACAAAGCCCCAGTTCCCAGTGGGATTACCTTTTCACCTGGCAGCAAACATGTTTGTCAGTAACGCGAGAGGCAAAACTTATTTTGGTAACAGTTTACACCAGACACTTAGTAAACCAATTTGTCCCCAACACTGCTGCCTATATTTGCAGGCCACAGCCCCGTGGCCACTCCACCTGGACAAGCCTCTTCCTGGAAGTACTCAACAACAACCACCAAATAAAAGCCATCCTGACATGGATCGATTCCCTGGAGGAGCAATTACTACTTAACAGGCTTCCTGAGCAGCTGATTATGTTCTGCTTCTGTCCAAGGCCCTGCTGACCATGCGGGGTAGTAATTTGATAACAAGAGAGCCTAATTAAATTAAGGGCCCATTTTCTACATCATAATATCTTTGTAGGTAAGAGATTTGATTTGGCAGTACATAATCTTCCTTCTCTTTGCTGTCTGCATTACAAGCAAAAAAAAAAAAAAAAAACACAACAGAAAACACGACCCAACCTCTACCCCAAGAGACTTTCACTTTTCATACATCATGATGGGAAAGCAGTTTGGCTAAAAATAAATATACAGCTTAGCTCACTCCTCCCCTCACACTGCAAAGGAGCTGCAGCACTTGTGCTCCTCAAAGGTCAGGATGTCTCCTTGGGAGGCCAAGGGTGACAGCAGAGCAGTGACCTAGTGGCAGTGCAGGGACAAGGCTGTTCTCAGCCCTCCCACTCATCAGGTAGGAGAGCCTGAGCCTGCACAGTCCCAGCCCGGGCCGTGCTGCGGAGCCCCAGCTGTGTGAGCTGCCTCCTCCCCAGGTGGCTCCCAGGGCACTCAGGGAACGGGGCAGGAGGCACAGCAGCTCCGAGAACAGAAGAATGCAAGCTGGCACAACAAACACACTGCTAGAGGCAAACCCCAGAGCCAAAGAGTGCAGGTTTTGCCCTGGTCCCACCCGAGCTGGGCAGAGCCCTGGGGAAGGCGCAGTGTCGTATCACAAGTGCTCCTGACCACACCTCGCGCATCAGTCCTCGGCGCCCGGACCGCCTGCAGCGCAGCCAGGGAGCAGCTGGGACCCATGAACTCATCTGCCTGGGTAAGCAGCTCTTTCTTTATCAGCATCTTTCTAGATAAGCAGAAATCATGCAAAGCTTATGGACAGGAAACTTCAGTGCTTTGAACAACAGGGGAACAACAGCTGGCTCGGAAATGCACTGAACTCCTACACTGTGTAACGTGCTGAGCTTAGAATGAACTCTAATACGACAAAACAGGGAACTCCTTATCACAAGAGCTCTTTGAGAAACATTTTAAGTAGCAGGCTGAGAATTCCGTTTCACCCTCTTTAGACTGTTTAGAAGAGAAATAAGCCCTTTGGGTTAGCGTTATAAGTCTGGTTTTAAATTCCCTTTATGTATTTAACTAAAAGCGTGGCTATTTTGATCAGGCACGGTCGTGACCAAATGTAAAAGCACATGTAAATGGGAGAGATGATAGATTTTTAGGTGGGGCTCCACAGCTTTAAGTCTAAGGAACCAACAACTTTAGTGCAGGAGTTCAGATTTAATTTAAACTAACAAATGAGGACTCACTTCCAAAGCAAGGAGTGTGACTTGAAAACACAGCTAGCAGGTGAATTCAAAGGCATCTTCCCCCATGGCTCCCATTTAAAGGGTGTTTGTAACACGAGATATAAATATTTGCCTGTGCAAACTTGTATTTAAGCCCCAGTTTTCGCCATCCATAAACAAAAGGCTCAGTTTGTGCCAGTATCTCCATTAGATGCAATTATCTCGTTAAATATTAATGGTGCCTTCCGTGGAGGCATTGACCACTTTGCTCAGAGCAGGCTGTTGGTAATGCACCATCAGCGCCCGCTCGGAGCCTGCGGAGCTCCCACGGACACGGTGGGAACATTCCGGGAGCCAGAGGGACCCTAAGGGCCTCTGGTCTTCCTGCCAGGGCTGTGCCCCCGCCTGCCTCTGTATGTCCCTTTGTTCAGTCACTTCGAGACTTTGATCAGATCCCACCGTCTCTCGCAGCACTGCACAGCTCTGCCCACACACACACGAGTCTGACCTGACACCACCACCTCCCTGTTAACCCTCCTGACCATCTCTCCCCGGGGCAGAGCCTGCCCTGCTCGGGAAAGCTCCCTGTCCCTCTGTTTACAGCCCCGGGCGGCGCAGGGCAGCAGCCAAGCCCTACCTGAGGCGGAGCCGGGGACAGCCATGCCGGAGTCCTTCGCCATCCACTTCCTCAAGGTGCTGAAGGAGCTGTTGGCCTTCGTGCTGTTCAGCTACACCGTGCTGGTCGGGGCTCTGCTGCTCGCCGGATGGACCACCTACTTCTTGGTGCTTAAATGAGAGCTCTGCTGCTGCAGCCTCCTGCACGGAGGCAATCAGCTCCCACGGGCAGCTCCACACCCAGATTGGAAGTCCTGCACCACCTGCGAGTGATTTGTGTCGTTAGTGCCTCCTCACAGCCTTATGTTCTTCTGCCCGAACAATAAAGGTTGCAAGCAGAGGTGTCCAAGTGCATGCACTTTGCCGATCTTTGTGTCTCCTGGTGATGTGTCTCTGTTCCCCCAGATCTTGAAAAGCCTCCCAGCAGTTTCCCACCCTGCCCGGAGAGCCTGGCAGTGTGCCCAGCACAGTGGAGACAGGAGGGACACAACTCAATCCCAGCATCTCAATAAACAAGTCCTGCCTTGTC